GGTTAAATGTCAAATACACCCCGATTGAACAGTGAGCTAACCCCCCCCGACGACAATGCTGCTGGGACCAAGAAGTGTGGCGACGGTGGCGACAATGTTGAGCTGGTACCACGACAGGTGGCGCCGGTGGAGACATTGCTGCGCTGAGATCACGACGGGTGACGCAAGTGGCGACAATGCTGCTGGGACAACGAAAACATGGGTCCCGGTGACGACAATGCTGCTGCGACCACGATGTGTGGCGCATGCGGCGAAAATGTTGAGCTGGTACCACGACTGGTGGCGCCGGTGGAGACATTGCTGAGCTGAGAGCACGACGGGTGGCGCAGGTGGCGACACTGCTGCGCTGGGACCACGACATGGGTCCCGACGACGACAATGCTGCTGGGACCATGATGTGTGGCGCCGGTGACGACAATGCTGCTGGAACCACGAAGTGTGGCGCAGGCGGTGACAATGTTGGGCTGGTACCACGATGTGTGGCGCAGTTGGCGACATTGCTGCGCTGGGATCGCGACGGGTGGTGCCGGTGGAGACAATTCTGCACTGGGACCACGATGTGTGGCGCCGACGGTGACAATGCTGAGCTGATATCACGACGTGTGGAGCCGGTGACGACATTGCCAGCTGAGATCACGACGGGCGTCGCCGGTGTCGACTAGAAGCGAATATTCGTTATCGAACTGCTCCCGATGCACATGCTCTGGCACCACTCCGGTGTGCCTGGACTGGACGACAACCACAACCTTGCTGGATTTTTGGACAAAATATCCACGAGCTATCCCCCCACCTGGTCATGTCCACGGCACTTGTGATCATCTATTCCGATGAATAGATGATCACAATCTATTTGAATTGTAGTGAAGTAGGAAAGTATTTAGGGGTTAAATGTCAAATACACCCCGATTGAACAGTGAGCTAACCCCCCCCGACGACAATGCTGCTGGGACCAAGAAGTGTGGCGACGGTGGCGACAATGTTGAGCTGGTACCACGACAGGTGGCGCCGGTGGAGACATTGCTGCGCTGAGATCACGACGGGTGACGCAAGTGGCGACAATGCTGCTGGGACAACGAAAACATGGGTCCCGGTGACGACAATGCTGCTGCGACCACGATGTGTGGCGCATGCGGCGAAAATGTTGAGCTGGTACCACGACTGGTGGCGCCGGTGGAGACATTGCTGAGCTGAGAGCACGACGGGTGGCGCAGGTGGCGACACTGCTGCGCTGGGACCACGACATGGGTCCCGACGACGACAATGCTGCTGGGACCATGATGTGTGGCGCCGGTGACGACAATGCTGCTGGAACCACGAAGTGTGGCGCAGGCGGTGACAATGTTGGGCTGGTACCACGATGTGTGGCGCAGTTGGCGACATTGCTGCGCTGGGATCGCGACGGGTGGTGCCGGTGGAGACAATTCTGCACTGGGACCACGATGTGTGGCGCCGACGGTGACAATGCTGAGCTGATATCACGACGTGTGGAGCCGGTGACGACATTGCCAGCTGAGATCACGACGGGCGTCGCCGGTGTCGACTAGAAGCGAATATTCGTTATCGAACTGCTCCCGATGCACATGCTCTGGCACCACTCCGGTGTGCCTGGACTGGACGACAACCACAACCTTGCTGGATTTTTGGACAAAATATCCACGAGCTATCCCCCCACCTGGTCATGTCCACGGCACTTGTGATCATCTATTCCGATGAATAGATGATCACAATCTATTTGAATTGTAGTGAAGTAGGAAAGTATTTAGGGGTTAAATGTCAAATACACCCCGATTGAACAGTGAGCTAACCCCCCTTGCGAAAACCACCCCGCAACGTAACAATTTATTAAGTATCTTACAACTTCGTGGAATTCATGGCGAAGGAATTAAAGCTACATGACCCCAACATGGTCCCGTTCACCCTCTTCCTGAAGCACGTCCAAGGGGGACATGTGCACGGCGCCGAACAGAAAAACTCTGAATAGTTGGTGTTGATTTCCGACGGTCGCTATGTGACTGACGGAACGTTTTCACCAAGTGCTGTTGGCAAGTATTTAGTACACGTGTTTTTCAAGGGTGACCTATGATAGTTCTTGCTGGAAGATGGCGGCGAACAAGAACCCGACTTTTGAGCAAATTGCATTTGTCCTCTCGTGCTGATGTTGGTCAGTTTGGCAACGCTGACTCTAGTTTACCAGCGCAACGAATGCCTTATCGATTCTGGAAGCTCGATGGAATGTCTGGCAGTGTCTTGTGGCACGCCCGCGACGACCTAAAACGACCATTGCATCACTGTGCGTGGCTGATGCTTGCAATCCTTGACGAGGCTATTTTCCTCGTTTGTCATTGTTCCATCCCTGCGGTCGAGTACGTGAACCCTCCATCAACCTATTGAAACTATATATTGAAACTAATGAGGGCGACTACGACACAGCTCGTGTAATAAAAACCAAATCAAGACGGCAGATCGATTACTCCGCGGCGGCCTTTTGGTCCGTCTTGCGCTTCAAGTCCTTGTAGTAATCGTCGAACGACTTGAGTTCCGAGGTCGCGTACGACTTCCAGATCGCGCCGCCTCCGAGGGCGAGGACGGCGGCAATAGCAACTTCACGGATAGCGTTTCCTTTGGCCATGGTATACGCCGTGGGGGTCTGTTATGGACAGAGCGAATTGCGAAATGTGGTGGACCTCTGCCAGCGGAGATTCGGTGGCATGGACATGCAGTGTTTAACCGTGGCTTTGGTCGGGCCATACAATTTCTCTATACAAATTTGCTGGAGTACTGTAAAGACACGCAATATCCTCATGGCGTTGAAAAAACCGTTGCCAACGTATTTCTACGCACTTCGAGAAAATCCTTTAGTTCATGGTTGTGATGGAATTACACAGCACGTCGCTTACGGAATCGTCACATAGATCCATACACAATGCGTGTTGAGGCCTAAATAGAGGAATAGATCGGAACGCTCGCGTATCAGCGATCGATCGACGCACACACAGTGCATAAGAGTAACTCTGCTCTCGCCTCTATTGTGTGTCCAATGGCTCAAGGGAAGCATTGGGATTAGCAGGCATATATGAGTACATCGGTTGTATCGGAGGACTTCTAATATCAGGGCTACGCTTACACGATTGGGAAGGAAACAAAATGCGCAGGTTTGGCATTGTATGTATTGATTGTATGGTTTGCGATATCCATCAGCGGGGGAAGCTCACTTGACCTTATCCTAATAGCCAAGAAGGTAAGGGGGGGGGGTAGCTCAGAGGTAGAGCGGTCTAGATTTCAACTCCCGTACTCCTCAATTTTCCACAAGGGAGTTTTGGTTTTTGGGCAATGTTCTAGTTTGGCCTGTCCGGATGAAGTGCATCGGAGTTGCATGTTTAGTGTATGTGCACTCTGCATAAAGAAGTCTGCACCTGTGATGGAGGGGACGTTTGGAACGTCTCAAGAACTCGTGAGGTGGCCAAGGCAACTACGACGCCTCCGTTTCGGCGGGGTGAGTGGCTGGCACAACCCCGATTTCTCGAAGTGGCACTCGGGCACCAAAATCACGACGACGGGCCTCACAAACGACTACACCCCCGCCAACTTGGAAATGCAGCCACTGTCCTAATGTGCAATTTTCAAATATTTTGCATGCTTGCTCAGCTCTGTAGAATAATGCTTCGACGTGTTTTCATGTTTGAGGACACAGTATCGACAGATCTTCCATCGTCAATCTATTTACTTGGGAAGGAACCGAGGGTCACCAACGAATCTTCAAGCGGCATGTTTCTATTAAAAGCCATTCAATGGCAATTATAAAGCGGCCTTAACGTCGACAGACCTAACAACGGCCGCTTCACTCCAAAATCTAGACCTACCAACGTAGTCTAGATTTTGGAGTGAAGCGGCCGTGCGATGAAGTTGTCGATTCAGCGCTCGACCCACACCAGGTACAGTAGCACCAGCAGCTGCACAAAAATCGGATTTGACAAACTTCAAGGTCACACACACCACTTGAGGTTTGTGTAGAAAGAAACAGCGAGCCGTCACCCCCAAAATGCCGCGCATCTAACTTGATATGGTTTTCAATATTGATACTACGATATAAGAATAATGTACGACGCCATGTGTGCCATTCCTTTTGACCAATTGCAGTACTACAGACTCAAAAACAACTAACTGACGGATCCATGATTTGCCGATTGTGTCCTCCGTTCAATTGACCACATCTCCTTCATTTTTTGAGAACTCGACACAAAAGTTACCTTCTCAAATGTATCGTCTTAAGCTTTTTCGAGCGGTCCATGGACTTATCAATATTGAGGGTTGCATTCATGGCTAAAAAATTGAAGAAGTTCGCTCCTCAAACAGTGGATCTGTGATATGCCGAAATCTATACTTGATTCCAGTATTGACATTTTCGGACGACAGAGCTGCAAAACTATTATTTTATAGAGAAATATTACTTGCTGAAATATATAAAAGATGGAAGGAATGTTAGAGCATTTTGCTCAATGAAACGATTTTCAAAGTTAACATGGCAATTCGATGTACGAATAGCATGGTTATGCGGATAATTGGCCGCAATCCAATAATCACGAGCAGTAAACTCACAACGCGCGATCAGGACAATGATGCTGAGCACGAACGAGCGCGACTTCTTGCTGGGGTCTCTAAAGGCCAACCGGAAAGCAGATGCCAACACGGGTCAGCGAGCTGATGGCCGTGGCCTGCTTGAATTCCGCCGGATGCAGATGTCCCTGCGTCGGTGTCTCCAGGAATTGGTCATATCGTTTGCTGTGTATGTCGTTCTAGGCGGCATTTTGATTTGAATCGCGGTGACGACCTCTGAAATTCATTGCAGTTTCCAATTATAAAGTACTAAAGGTGTTATTTGTTGCAGTATTTCATTTTATCCAATGACAAGAATTCTGATATTCTGTTGGCTAAACCTCCTCGGCAAATCACAGATCCTTCAGCAAATCACAGATCCTTCAGCAAATCACAGATCCGTCACGTTATGATTATTGGTGAAAGGTTTGAAGCTCAAACTTGTTGTACAGGGAACGACGGAAATCCTTCCCCCGTGGTACTCGACCATACTTCTGGAATTTTAATATTATAGACGTCCAAAATCATCCTCTGGAAATTCAGAATATTTTTGGCCAATCGATGACCATAGTA